GCACCACGGGGAGCAGGGATAACGGGGTGCCCCCTTCTCCCTTCATTTTCCTGGGCTCTGTGCCCGGTTCAGTGGGGTGGCTCACCCTTCGGGGTGCAAAGGGCAGCACCTCCCTGCAGCGTGGCACCCACGGCAGCGGCTGGGCCGGGCGCAGTGCTGGGGAGGGCCAAGAGCCCTTTCCTACCCCCTTTTCATCCGCCATCCGCTCGGTTGCTGCGGCACCTAATGCCATCCCTCGTCGCCGGCTCTCGGAACAGATGGCGGGAGGAGGCTCTGGGACACCATCAGCTGTTGTTATCGCTAGCTGATGACACGGAGTGTAAATTCTGTTGGCACTACTCCCTTCGTCTGTTCTGCCTCTGCATCCCACCAGTTTTAATTACTGTAATTGAGTTATAATGAATGATTGTGCATTACCATTGTCTGTAATGTGGCAGGGAGTATTCTGTTCGTTACACACTCCATCTAACAACATGCCCCTCCTCGTTGCTTTGTTTATCTGGTTGAAGGGTGTCATCACTTCAAATGGCAGAGATAAAACAGTACTCAGAGTGTCTGCGTTTAGATGTTTATCGTTTTTCTGTTCTCAGGCACTGGTGCTTCACTGAATCCCAGCGGAAAACTGCAGAAACAGATAAAAACTAATTTGGCTTAATCCCTCTTGAAAAAAAAAAATCAAACCCAACACAAAAAAACAAAACACCACAACAGCAAAAAAACCCTGCAGAGATTTTGCCCACTGAAAAAATCATTAGCACAGGTTGACACACACCGCCCACGGCAGGAGGGATCGCCGAGAGCCTCTCCCAGAGGGGGCTTGCCCCTGCCAGCCGCCGCTCGCTGCACCGAGTGGCTTTTCGGGGGTCCGCCCGCAGGTGACACAGGCCGGGAAAGGCGCCTGGCCCTGCTCTGCCCATGCCCACCATTTGGCCTGTGCACGGTGCTCTCAGCCGTCCTTGCCTTTTCTGCTGGCGGAGAGACTGCTCCTGGCGCGGGGCTGGGGGACAGCTGCATGAGAAAGCATCAAGGCCCCAGCCTGGGGACAGCCCATGGGGCTGTTTCTGATGGTGACATCTCAACGCTGACCCGGGACATTTGCAAAGCCCCTGATATGGCTAAACCCTGCTTCAACCAGCCAGACTCCTCCGTGCTGGTGCTTATGCAGCACCTGAAGGGCCAGCTTCAACCTGGAGACTCGCCATAGCTTCAGGGATCTCTGTTGTTCTAGGAAAGGGGTATTATTCACATGGCAAACTGTGGCATTTCCCAGTCAACGTTCCCGTGGGCTGGGATGCAGGCAGCAGGCTGGGGTGAGATGCTCTGCTCCCTCCCAGCCCCACCGAGGGTGCACGGGTGCCAGTGAGGTGCTGGTGCCAGCACCCAAGGAGGAAGCTCTGCTCTTCTGATCGCCCAGCCACGCCGTTCGTGGCCTCCCCAAACCACCTCTGGACCTGCTGACCTGCTGGCAGTGCGGCACAGAGCCGGCGGAGGCGAGCTGCCAGCCTTGGTCACAGCCATTTGCTGCAAGTGCCGGCACGTACCATGCCTGTCCCCTGCAAAGCAACCCAGGAGGAAACGAAAGGGGACATGGTGCCAGCTGACGTGCCACCGCCTCTGCTGCAAACACCTCGAGTGAGGTGGCCGCTGCATGCTCTCCTGGCCCTAAAATGCATGAAAAGTCTTATTAAAGCATGAAAGTCTCAAAAATCTCATTAAAGCACTGCTGCACCACCAACACCCCCCCCAAAGGGGGGGGCAGTGGTGCAGCAGTGCTTTAATGAGATTTATCTCTTTTCTGATAAACACCTTCCAAGCGCTCAGCCACTCAGATGAGCCCAGCCCCCTGCCCGCAGGGACCAATCCTGCAGATTCGGGGATCTCAAGCCATGACCAAGGGGCACAGCTCCACAGGGATACATGGGAGCACTGAGCCCACTGAAAACACGGCATTTGAGGGGAACCCTTTTTATTTCTGAGGTAGAGGCCAAGATCATAGTAATTTTTAAAGGCAGCTCTGCATTTGGTCAGCACCCATCGTGCTTCTTGGCTTCTGCAAGGATAATAACGTGCTTGTGTGCACCTAATATTTCTTTTAGGCTGTGGCTGGCTTAGGAGAAAAGTGTTGTGTGAGCGTTTTTTGTAAAAGACTTGGCTCCATCTGTACGCTGTCAGTAAATGGCTGAGCTAAATAACATGTTGTTATGAATAGTAGCATTTGATAGTTTTAAACCTTTTCTTTTTTCTTTTCTTTTTTTTTTTTCCTTTTTTTTTTTTCCAAGGTAAATTCCAGCGGGATCAACACTACACAGGAATTGCCCCGGAGGAAGTTGGCTGCTCACCAATTCATCTTGTAAAAAAGATTCATTATTACTGTTGAGCTGAGATGAAACAATTCTCTGGAATTAACTAGTCTAATTTTGACCAGCCAATGTTTTGCTACAATGAAAGTTTTTATTGTTACACATAAAAGTCAAAACCCCCAGCACCCCTGGGGGGAAGATGGGTGAGATGATAAAGGTAACTGCGTGCACGGGCGCACGTGCGCGCGCACACACACACACACACACACACAGAGGCATATGCTCCTCTACAGCCCCCGGGATGCGGCTGCCCCCCAGGGCTGTCTGAGGAAGGTGCCCCCCACAGCCCAATGGTATAATTATCCCATCATC